TAAGACTCCGTGCTTCCACTGCAGGGGGCATGGGTTTGATCCCTGGTCGGGGAACTAAGATCCCGCATGCTGCATGGTGTGCCCATAATAATAATAATAATAAATGTTTTAAAAAAAACAGTGGTAGAAAAAAACATCAGGTCCTGGTGACAAGGTCTGAGCCCCTGGATCCGGCTGAGCCTAAAGCTGGACTTGCCTCTGGACTTTACATTCACGAGCCAATAAATTCCATTTTTGTTTAAACCAGTCTGGGTTGGGTTCTCTGTCACTTGTCCCTGAAAAGTACCTGAATGATACAAGCAAAAATAAAAATAGAGCTTGTCCATATCTCACATCCAGAGGAAAATGCTACGAACAGTATAATGGTTGTCCTTCTGGGCAGGAGCATGCATATATTTATATATACATTTCCTAACAAAAATGAGATCATACAACATACACCATTTTATAACCTCCTATTTTTCCCTCAACAATGCACCACGGACATGTTTCCATGTCAACAAGAATAGATCTACGGCACCGTCTCCACTGCCGCTGAGGACACCATTGTCTGGCTGGACCGTAATTTGTTTAACCATCTCTTGCTGATAGATAATTGGGTAGTTTCTAATTTATCACTGTCTTCAGGAAAGGTGCAGTGAACTTACTTGTAAAACGCGTATGTTTGCTCTTGCTGGATTATTTATGGCTAAGATTCCGTGATTGCAGGAGTTTGACTTCACCAGTATAAGTTTCTCTGCCAGATATTTAAGATTCTCTGAGTGTCTGTAAGGTAGCATCTGTCTTCCCAGGCAGGGTAAATGGTTATCAAAAAAAGCAAATCCAGGGTGTCTCCATAGCAGTGTCTCTGGCGACAGTGCTTATTGGAAGACGCAAGTGAGTTGATGGGAATGTAGCTGGGGCTTGGGGTTGGGGGCGGGGGGTGGTGCTGGCCCGGGGTCCAGCCAGCCATGTGCACCCCGTTAAGCTGCCCTCCTCCCTGGGCCTCATCCCCAACTGGGTCTGACTCTCAGTAACGAGGGGAAAGGCGAGTCTGGGGGACCAGCTGGGACCCACTGAGGGTCCAGGCAGGACGTGACAAGCGCGCAGCAGGTAGGTGTCACCTCTGGAGGTCACAGCGGCGACAGCAGCTGCCACCAGTGACGCAACAGTGGGACTGTCCCCGCCCTCTACGTGTTTCAACTCAGTAAAGCACCACAGCCACCCTCTGATGCTGTTCTGTGTCACTCAGGCCCCCTTCCCCCTTCATCTTTATCACGTCACCATTAATTTCCTTCGAAGCATCGATGGAGTCGCTGCGTAATCAGTTTATTTGCTGGGGTGTTTGTATAATATCTGTCCCTCCCTAAGGCTGTGTGCTCTGCAAGGGGCACAGACTAGCAGGGACTAGTGCTCAGTAAATGTTCCGGGAATGCAGGAATGCCTCTGGGGCTGGTGCCGTCTGCAAGGCAGGCGCCTCTGCTTTGGGGCTTGGAGATACCCTCTGCCGTGCCACCCTCCAGGCCATGTTCCCAGCACAAGTTTGGGGACCCACAGGTCTGCCTTAGAACTTGACTCCAGTCATGGGCTGCTTGGAGCTTCCGTGCCAGGTGCCTGCCGGGCCGGGACCCCAGCCCCGAGCAGTGCTTGCTGCACACACAGGACACAGGGCCCTGGAGACAGCAGAGCTGGTGGAGCAGCTCCACCCATCACTGGCTGTGTGGACTTGGGCCAGTCATCTCCTCTCTGGAGGCCTCAGTACCTTCATCTATAAAATGGGGTCAATACCACTGACCTCTCGGGGTTGTTCTAAAGACCGAGGAAGATAATGGACATACTTAGAACACAGTGAGTCCTCAGGAAACGGCAGGTCGGCCCCACGTATAGTTAGTTCAGAGGTTGGGTCTGACCCTGTCTCACCTGGATGATCTCTTTTTACCTTGAGTGATTCCTGGGTGAGCCCTGGCCTCCTCCCCTAGTCTGTCCCTAGGGAGGTCCCATTCCTATCCGTCAACACATTAGATGGCTAAATGCTCTGCTCTGACCCCTTGTCACACTCTCAGATGCCTCATGTGTTGCCTACGGCCACAGACAACTGCCTGGCCTCCCAAGCCTTAAGAACGCAATGGCACCGACACACATCTGAGGGACAAATGGAGGATCCCCTGCCCTTTGGGGGGAACTTCCTGGCCCCCAATCTCGAACATGGGACAGTGATGCCGGTCTGAGTCAGTCTGTCCTGTTTCTCATCCCATCTCTCCCACCTGAGAGCTCTTCGAAAACATGATAAATAACTCTACCCCTCTAAGCCTCACTTTCCTCCTCTGTAAAATGGGTAGAATAATAGACTCTGTGAGAATTCAATGAAATAAGGTAAAATGTTTTGCAAAGAGCCTGGCATTTAGTAAGTGCTCAAGAAGTATTAACTATTACTGTTAGCATTGCTCTTTAGCCTTTCTACTGTGAAACCTAACTCATAGAGAAAAGTACACAAAACAAAAATGTTTACTGCAATAAATGATCACAAAACCACCTGGGTCAATGAATAGAACACCGCTTACCCCTCAGAAACCCCTCCTGCCCCACTCTCAATCCTTATATCCTCTTTTCTTCACAAAGGTAATCCTTTTCCAGACTTTTATAGTGCTGTTACCATTATTAATAATAGAAAGCAAGTGAAAAGAAAGAATGTGTGGCTACTCTGTCCCTACCCAGCCAGGCTCCTGGACCCCTGGCTGCCTCTGCCCTGGGCACGGAGACTCCCCATCCAATTTCCCAACTTCGACTTGGGCTGTTCTTTAAATAACTAGCTCGTTAGCAAAACAGCAGCAGTAACACCTCCCTCGCTGCCGCCCAGTCCTCCATCTTTCGGCGCAGTGCTGACGGCTGCGCTCCCAGCTTGTGCCAAGGAATCCCGTTCTCCGTCACTGGGCCACACATGCCAGGGGCTGCCAGCTATGCTGTGTTCTTGGAGGCCACGATCCTGCCCCTCCGGCCTGGCCTGGCTGGTGCGGGGCGGGGCAGGGAGGTGGGCAGAGAGTGGCGGTAATTTTCTGGAAGGACCAGAGTGTTGCTGGGTGAGCCCTCTCCCCCAGGTCCATGCCTCGGTCTCCCCATCGACCTCCCACAGGGTCACTAGGAGCTTAACTGAGATGATGAAGAAAATGAAGCATTAGCACAATGCCAGGCACATAGTAACTGCTCACGAAACGGCCGCTGTCATTCAGGTTGCTCCTCTCACATACTTAGTCCCTAGGGAGGGCATGCAGGGCTAGGGCAGCACCAGGAGTACCTGCATATGATTAAATCCCACAGACACAGCTCTCAGACCAGGTGGCCTTATCACGTCTTTTCCTAGGACAGCTGCTCCACCAAATGTAACAGCTGTGTGTAGCCACTACAACAGCCCAGGCCAGATCGGGGGAGCTGGGCCGGGGGGCAGCTAATTACTAGGACCCCTTTCACAGTTATCAGTACTAAGAAGGGGGCACCGGACGAGCGTGCAGCCCTTGTTCCTGAAGAAGCACTTCTATATACATTATCTACAGCGAACTTCCCAGGTTTTTATTATCCTGTGGCATTGGTATACTATCCATATTTACGAGTCTTTTCCCTTCTCATAACCATCCCATTAGGGAGGTTGATCAGTTGTTGGCAGATGAGAGAATGGGGACCAGAGGGGCTGGCCGCCTTGCTGAAGGCTTGAGTGGACTGCCAGCTCTCTGGGGTCAGCAGGGACCAGCGGCTGGCCCAAAGGCCGGTGGGCTCTTGGGTCCTGCTAGCGTCTGGGTGGAGGGAGGTGAGAGTGCCTTCCTCCTCTCCCTTTCTCCTTCCTCCCACGTATACCAACTACGTGCCAGGCACAGCTGCTGGCTGTCCGGTAGGGAATGAAGCAATGTTTCCTGACCCTTGGGTTGCTGAGGCCAGACTAGGAGGTAGATCTTAAACCAACAACCCCATGTAGCGCTGAGTGGTGGCTGGGTGACCTTGGGCGAGCCCCTTGAGCTCCCTTTTTTTTTTGGCTGTGTCGGGTCTTAGTTGTGGCACGTGGGAACTTCGTTGGCGGCGCATGGGCTTCTCTCTAGTTGTGGTGTGCGGGTTCCAGAGCGCGTGGGCTTTGTAGTTTGCGGCACGTGGGCTCTCTAGTTGAGGCGTGCCAGCTCAGTAGTTGTGGTGCGCAGGCTCAGTTCTCCCGCGGCATGTGGGATCTTACTTAGTTCCCCGACCAGGAACCTGCGTCCCCTGCATTGGAAGGTGGATTCTTTACCACTGGACCACCAGGGAAGTCCCCCCATGAGCTCCTTTGAGCCTCGGTTTCCTCAACTGTGAACTAGTCACACCTGCACAACCTGGGGAGGGGGTAGGAGAATAAGATGCAGGAGAGTGGTGTCCAGCTCTGTGGCCGGTGCTGAGTTGGGGCACCCTGTTGGGATCATTGTTGTGGGAAGGATGATCAGAGATGCTGCAGGGCTGGGCCCCTCATCCATGTTGGGGTCAGGCATGCTGGGGACTGGAGGGTTGCCGGTGGAACAAGCTGGAGGGGCAGGAACAACAGGGCTCCCCAAGATTCAGGAACTCTGATGGCCTCACCTCAGCCCCCGCCCCCGGGGTCTCATAGGCTCCATGGCTTCTGGCCCAGCCCAACGTTCCCCTTCCCTTTCTGAGCCCGTGTCACCAACCCCCCAGCCCCTTGGGTGTGGTAAGAGCTGGCCTTTGAGATGGATAGAGCTGGGCTTTCTGGGCATCCTCAGGCAGGTGGTTTCTCCTCTCTGAGGCTGTTTCCTCTGTAAAATGGGCACAATCACTGTGTTCAACTTCTGGGTTGTCGGGAGGACTGGATGAGACAAGTGGTTAAACTATAAATTGAGCCCAGACGTATAAAAGCTCTCACTGAGGTCCCTTCACCAGCACGTGGGTGTCGCTGGGTGGGAAGGCTGGACATTTCCCAACTGTGCCAAGCACGGGTCTGTGGATGAGCAGCCCTGATTCCGTGTGCCCAGGCTGCAGACACAGTTACTTACCAACCCCGGAGCTACGTGCGGAGGGGAAATGGGAACCAGTCGGGAAGCAGCAGGCGTCACCTTGGGAGCGGGTGCTGGACCGAGGGCTGGCACACACATCCCTCCGGGCGCTTGGTCAGAGGTGCTGGCGGGAAGCAACGTGGGACGGGGCCCTCCAGTACCTGGAGTGACCAGGTTCCGGCCACCAGGCCCCTGGCAGTGGGGAGGCACGGGTGCCTGCAAGAATGAAGGAGAACGTCAATTAGGAGGTGGCCGGGGATAATCCCTCCACCCTGAGACCCCTGGACTGGCCCTGGGGACGCTGGGGAGGAGGACACCACGGAGCAGTCATCATAGAAACCCAAGTGTTTGTACAACACTACATTTTCCAAAGCACTCTGGCATCCCGGCTCACGAGGGCCCCTACGTTGTTTTTCAGAGGGGTATTTGCATGTCATGCATATTTACAATGCTTTCCCCACCACCCACAGAATCCCCACAGCAGCTGGGAAGCCGGGGTTCCAAAGGCTCAGATCCTCCCCGTCTTGCTTCTCCCTCTTTTTCCCTGAATGGGGGCGGTCAGGAAAGGGGCCAGAGTCACACAGTCCCGAGTTCGAATCCCAGTTGAGCCCTCACTCTCCCGGCGACACTGGGCAGGCACCTGCCCCTTTCTGAGCCTCAGTTTCCCTGCTTGTCAAATGGAAATAAGAGAACCACCTCTGAGGTCTCCTGTGAGGATTAAGATAATGCAAGTAGAATACCTGGCACAGAGTATGTGCCTGAAAAAGACCCTTCAAAGAGGCTCGGTCCCTGTGCCCTGCACGCAGAGCAGGAGGTGCTGCATCACCACCCCCCGACCTCCTACATCACAGGTCTCGTCTCGTGTGAGAGGCACAGGAAAGCCAGGTGTCCCTCTCCACCCACCTCTGCTGGACAGGTGCTGCTGCTTCTGCTTGGATCTTTATTTTGTTTGTTTTTTTTTAAATTTTTATTTTATTTTTTTTTTGCCGCTCCGCGTCATGTGGGATCTTCCCGGACGGGGGCACGAACCCGTGTCCTCTGCATCGGCAGGCAGACTCTCAACCACTGCGCCACCAGGGAAGCCCCTGATTGGATCTTTAAATCAGCAGGAACCAGGCCCTTCTGGGAGAAGAAAAAGGCCCCCCCCCATTCCACACCTCCACTCCCAGGAGCCTCTTGGTTGTTTTAGAGGCCTCAGTGGAAGCCCCCGCCCCTGTTCTCTCATTCTACAGGTGGAGAAACGGAGACACAGGGGTCATCTACCTGATCTGGGGACACAGAATCCAAGTGGTTGGGCTGGGATCTGAACTCAGGCTTTCCCCCTCAGCCCGGGGAGAAGAAGTCCAGGGGTCAGTTCACAGTAGGAATACGGAGAAAGGGGCAGTGGATGATGGCGGAGGTTCATCTTTTTCTCCTGGTTACACCAGGGCCCTGGAAAGCCCTCATAATCTCTAACTTCTCTATATCTACACCTCCTTTGACCTCATTTTCTCCTCACAGTGCTAAAATGTTATCCATATTTTTCAAAAGGAGAAACTGAGGCTCAGAGAACTTCAGTAATTACCCACACGGAGGAAGAGTCAGGGCATCTGATTCTAAGACCTGGTACTTAACCCCAGTGTGGCCCTGCCTCCCCAGGTGGGGAAATCACCAACCCAGAAAAACATAACCGTCTGGATGAAAAGTGTTTAAATAGAAGGAAAAGAAAACACTGACCTCCAAAACATTCTGAATTAGCAGACACAAATTCTTAAAAGATTCCAAGATGCACCATGGGGTGTGAAAATTGCCAGTACGTGAAAATTCAGTGCTTGGGAGGGTGCGTGCCTGATCAAGTTGTCACTTTTAGCCAAAATCAGTGGGAGCCCAAAGCGGAAGGAAGAGAGGTGACGGCAGAGGGAGGCATCCCGTGCAGGGCAGTGGGGCAAGGGGTCCCAAGACCTGCCCTGGAGTCCGCCCAACTTCCTTGCTGAGGGACCAGAGCAAGTCTCCTCCCGACTGCCCACTTTACAACAGGTGGGAGAAGCCTACAAGACAGTCTCTTAGGTTCTTGTCAGCTCTGATGGTGATTAAGATTCAGGGACTTCTGACAGGGATGAACCTCGAGAACATTATGTTAAGTGAAAGAAGCCAGTCACAAAGGACCACATAGGGTATGATTTCAGTTATATGAAATGTCCAGAACAGGGAACTCTGTGGGGACAGGAAGTAGACGAGTGGTTGCCGGTGGGGGGATTGGGAGCGGGTGAAAGCTAAGGGGTTCGTGGTTTCTTTTTGGGATAATGAAAATGTTCTAAAGTGGGTTGCAGTGATGGATGCACAGCTTTGTGAATATACTAAAAGCCATTGAATGGTACACTTTAAATGGGTACAGTATATGTACAGTATACGAATTCTATCTAGAATTGTACAGTCTATGAATCCTATCTCAATAAAGCTGTTAGAATAATCCAACACTAAAAGAAAGATTCTGCAACTTCCCAATGGACAGCTGTCCTCTGGGAGCCTGTGATTCCCTTGGGGTTCTTCCACTATGGCCTGGGAAAGCAGGGAGTATTTTCCCAAGAATCCCCCAACACCCCTACAGACCCTCTGTCCCAGAGGCCTTTGCATTTGACATTTGCCTCCTCCAGGAAGCCCTCCCTGACCTTCCAGCCAGTCCAAGTCTCCAGTTACTGGCTCCTAGGGCTCCCTCAGTTTCTCGCTACTTATCATGCTGATGTGAGGAAATCATTTCCATGATCATTGGATGACACTGCCTTCTCCATCAGACTGGGAGCTCCATGAGGGCAGGGCCATCGTCACTGGTCATCATTGTCAACGCTCAGTGCAGTGCCTACCACACAGAAGGTGCTCCAGAAATGTTTGCTGATTGAATGAATGGATCAAAATTCCCAACGCTATAATGCGACTTGGCTTCCTGTCCTGGCTTCACCTCATTCTGGCTGAGTGATCCTGAGCAAATCACATAACCTCCGAGAGTTTCAACGCCTACTGCAGAGAGTAGCCAGGGCATTAAAAGGGATAACGCACATGGAAAGTACTTTATGAAGCGGCTTCCCCACAGCTGCCCCCATCGCAGTCAATGGAACCCCCTCCTACCAGCCACTCAGGCTCAAGCCCTGCAGTCATCCTTGATGCCTCTCTTTCCCTCACCCTCTACACCCAAGCCATCAGCAGCTCCTACTGAAGTCACTTTCACGACGTATCAAGAAGCTGGTGCACCACCTGCATGTTACCACTGCTGTGGACTGAGCCATCATCACCTCTTGCCTGGATTAGTCACGTCCTCTCTTGTCTCCTGCTTCTGCCCTTGCTCCGGACACAGAAGCCAGAGGAATCGGGCTAGAACACAAGTCAGAGCCTGCCCCTCCTCTGCTCTAAACCCTCCATGGCCTCACTTCACCTCAAGTAAAAGCTGACAGCCCTACAGATGCCACGGCTGGTCCCTCCACCACGTCCGATTCTCCCCTTCACTCTCTGCTCACTCCCTCTGCCCCAGCTACCCTGGCCTCTGCGTCGTTCCCTAAATATACCAGGTATGCTCCTGCCTCAGGGCCTTTACACGTGCTCTTTCTCTGCCTGGAATGTCAGTCGCCCAGATGTCAGTGAGCCTTACCCCCTCACTTCCTTCAGGTCTTTGCTGAGACCTGACCTTGTCAATGAGATGCATTTCAGCACAATAGGTAAGACTCTTAACAGAAAAGCATGGGCTTGAGGTAGAAATCCAGGCTCTGCCAGTTACATAGCTGAGTGACTGTGGGCAAGTTTCTTAACGTCTCTGGGACTCAGCTGCTCTTTTCTAAAATGGGAATAATCACAGCATCTTCCTCGTAAGGTTGTAAGGCTTATATGCAAATGAGCAATTTATCCTGATTACACCCTGCCCCTCCCACTAAAATGTCGGCCCCACGAGGCTAAGAGTTTGTCTGCTTGGTTTATTGCCAGGTCCCCAGTGCCCACTACAACACCTGGCACACGGAGGTGCTCAGGGAAGGTGTCGCTCAACAAATGTTTTCAATGCTGAAAAAATATTTATTGGCTAATTGTCACAAGCTCTGGGTTTTCCCTTCTTCCCTCTCACAGACATTTATTTTTTTCTCCAGCCCAGCCTGCCCCTTGGAGGGCCAGGTCCGCAAAGCCAAATTCCCACGGGCACCTCTGCCCGCCACCCTGTGGACACGTCACACGCCACATGTCCAGGGTCTCTTCTCCAGAGATCTTGTCTCTTACAGCATCATCTAACCAGGTACCTGGAACCAGCTCACGCTCTTCGGTAACCAAGATGCCAAGGGCTCCTATGCACCTTCCTCCTCTCTCAACATCTCTCGAATCCCCTTCTCTTTATCCCCAGAGTCACCCCCTGTCCAGGCCACCATGATCTCTCATTCAGACCACTGCACCAGCCCCCTCCCTGGACGCCCTGCTGTCTCCCTCGGTCCCTCTTCTTACTGCAGCTGGGAGGATCTTTTCAAAACACACAAGGAACAAATGAAAGCCTCCCTCTGCGAGCCTGGAAAGTTGAAAGCCTCATTGACTCGAAAAACGAACCGACTGGGGCTTTTCAAAAGAATTTGACTCAGAGTCTGTCATACTGAGTGAAGTAAGTCAGAAAGAGAAAGACAAATACCGTATGCTAACACATATATATGGAATTTAAGAAAAAAAAATGCCATGAAGAACCTAGGGGTAAGACAGGAATAAAGACACAGACCAACTAGAGAATGGACTTGAGGATATGGGGAGGGGGAAGGGTAAGCTGTGACAAAGCGAGAGAGAGGCATGGACATATATACACTACCAAACGTAAAATAGATAGCTAGTGGGAAGAAGCCGCATAGCAAGATCAGCTTGGTGCTTTGTGACCGCCTAGAGGGGTGGGATAGGGAGGGGGGGTGGGAGGGAGACGCAAGAGGGAAGAGATATGGGGATATATGTATATGCATAGCTGATTCACTTTGTTATAAAGCAAAACTAACACACCATTGTAAAGCAATTATACTCCAATAAAGATGTATAATAATAAAAGAAAAGGAAAGAAAAGAATTTGACTCAGGGCTCTTCAAACAATGAACGGCCTCACCAACCTTGCCACCCCAGGCCCAGGTAAAATGGTATTTGTTGTATGAAAATTTAATTTACAAAATGGATTTACACCGAACCTTAGTTCCGTAAATATTTGTGGAATTGAAATGCAAAAACAGGTTTTAAAAATA